CATCTCTTCCTTTGCGGGCTGTGTTCTTTCAATGAGCCTGGTTCATAATGTCATTTGCCCGATAACAGGCTTCATCGAAAGCGTTAAATCGAATCTTCATTATTCTCGACTGGGTCACTTCACTGAAAAAATCGTTTTGTAGAAAATTACGGCAGATAACTTTTATATCTGAATAGTGCCTTTAAAAAATAAATCATGTATCATTTAAAAATAAAATTTAAATAGATTAAAAAGATAAACATATCTCTATCTATAAAAGGCAGGATGTGTGTGTGTGTGTGTGTGTGTGTGTGTGTGTGTGTGTGTGTGTGTGTGTGTGTGTGTGTGTGTGTGTAACGAATGCACGGCTGCAATTTTCGACGGATTTGCACCAAAATTTACATGCACATGCTCCAAGTTAGCGGGAAGGCCAAGACCGACTTGGCATTTCCCAACTCCCATCGATAGTGGAAATAATCGATTTTTTCTTGCTTCTATGGCAGTTTTCATGTAGTTTGCGGCCATTTTCTACTGGCCAGAGTGAGAGCCTATAGCCGGCTGTCACGAATAGGCAGGAAGATTCTATTGGCCAGCGTGAGAGCCAACAACTGACTGACACAAATGTTAACTAGCATGCTAGCATGCAAAAAAATCGATAGCTGCATTCGTCACAAGTGGGAAAAAATTGAATCTGCATGGCACTTTACTCCAGTTGGTTCATTCGCTTGCTTAAACTCAACGTTGATTCTGATTCCACAGAACTGGGTTGGGTGTGAAAAAGTAATTTTTGTTAACATTCTTTTTTTCATTCGGTTTTTTCCAGTTACGAGTCCTTTTTTTAAAGCTGATCGTTTTGTGTTCATTTTGTTTAATTCTTTTTTCGTAACAGATTTAGTGTTTAGTATAGAGCTTAGAAAAAATTCGCAGTGTGAGAAGTAAGGCATGTAGCAACATCAGCACGGCAAAGGGCACTCCTTTAAAGGCAGAGCAAAAATATTCTAAGTCAAGTGATAGCGATTGCTGTATGAGTCGTACAATTTTTGAATCAAGCACGGGCAACGCAGGACCATGCTGCTTGTATATATTAAAATAAAAAGAGTAATAGGCAGTAATACAGAAGATTTTTTAATATTTATTTACTTGTGTAGTTTTTATTGAACAAATATTGAAATGACTTACACAACTGACACCATTCGGACTGTTGTCCTCATCTTCATTGCCATGTTGTACGACCGTTGTACGCTGTGAGCTTCTTCAGGTAATATACGTTGGATTTCGAATCGAACCCTTTATTTTGTAGAATAAATCAATAGTGCACCTCAGAAATATAGATATACAGGGGTATTCAAAAAGAATGAACCGATTTCATGACGCATTGCTTCAGTTCTCAAGCATCGTCATAGAATGAGTCAGAAAACACTTCTTTCAAATGCTCTCTAAGTTTTGAATGGCTGCCACAGGGGCGTTGTAGACGCGTCGTCTCTCCTGCAAAGTTCAGTTGTTCGTTTAACCCCGGAATGGCGAATCCTCCGCAAAAGGCATTCTGCGTACTCGAGTTCACGAAAACAGATACGATTGTCACGGTACAGCGTGCTTTTCGAGGGCAATTCGACATTAATTCGCCCTCTCCTAAGAACATACGACGGTGGTTTATACAGTTTCAAGAGAGTGAGTGTCTGTGTAAAGGAAAAAGCCCAGAAAGAGAACGAGTTTCGGAGGAACAAGTAGCAAGAATCCGTGCTGTGTGTTTGAGGGGAGTCCACGGAAGTCAAAAAAAATCAAGCTATCAGTGAGCTTGTGATCTCTCAATCCACTATCCGGCGTATGCTAAGACGTCTACATTTGAAACCTTACAGACTACGCCTTGTTCAGGCACTTACCAAGACTTTGCTCATTATGCTTGGCCGGCGAGATCCACAAACCTCATCGATTTTTTTCTTGTGGGGATGCGTAAAAGATCGTGTTTATGTTCCACCGCTAACCTCTAACGTCGATGAACTTAAACATCGAATAAAATCAGCGATCAACTCAATGGTTCATGATATTCTGATACGCGTCTGGGAGTAATTCTCTTATCGCATTGATGCTTCCCGTGCAGCAGATGGTGGCCATGTTGAACACTTGTAAGATAGGAAATAAAAAAGTTGATTGTAAGTAGAACACTTGTACCTTGACTGGAGTTTTCTATTTCTTTTCCTTACTAAAATATTGTGTAATGAAATCGGTTCATTCTTTTTGAATAACCCTGTATATTGAAATGTGTTTTTTTGCTTGGTTTTAAATATCCAGAAACATATACCGGGCGCAAACCCCCTGCAGACGAAAGGGTGGTAGGGACCCAGCTATCGGCAAATAGTTGAACTTCCGAACGAAAACAAAACACTATGAAAGTATAAAAATACATTTTTATATAATAAAAATACCAATAATATATATTTATAGTAAGACGACGAACAGTATATTTTTATCTGTAGCTGAAGACATACAATAGTGACCAAAATATTTAGATTAAATAACCCCTAGAGGTTAATATGCGCTAAACAAAATAAACCAATCAAGCAACCAAATAGGGATTCCCAAAAGAATAAAGAATGTTTAGTCATTTCGTCAAATATTCAGAAGTGGTTTGAGCTGACACTTTTTTCAGCACTTTATATTATTTCCTGTTTTCGGCCGTTGTACGCTCCAGCCTTCTTCAGGTGATTGGAATTTCGAACTGAATACCTGGCTACTGCAGTGGTGGACCAAAACTTGGAGAGTTGAGTTAAAGGGAGATAACTGAGACATCAGGAAGAGGCACGGCACGTGGAAATAGTATAAATCATTCTGAGACTTATGGTCACATCACATTGAAACACCAGTTAAGCAACATCAAGCTTGGTCAGTACCTAGACGGGTGACCACTTGGGAATAACATGTAACAAGTTTTGATGTGCAGATGATGTAATGGATAATAGCTCTGAATTGTTAATTGGAGAGCCAAGTTCCAATTCCAGTTGAGTTCATTATAAGCACTTACGCAAATACCATTGGGAAAGATATGAATGCACCTCTTCTCCCACAAGCTATGGGTTAATTAGTAAGACTTTTTTCACCAAAACCATTATCTCCCAAAAATAAATAAAATTGCATATAAAATATTTAGGTTTCAGCATTAAATAACCCACAGAGGTTGATATGCCACTAAACAAAATCAACCAACCTGCATAGGGATAGAAAAGAAATACAGTAGATACACAGAGATAGAAAAGGGTGTAAGACAAGGATGTGTCTTCTTACCGGACTTTACTGTAAAGCAATCCTGAGAGAATGAGAAGGCCTACCAGGATTCATTATTGGCGTCCACAAACTTAAAATCAAGATATGCAGATGACATAATGTTGGTAGCACACAGAGAGAGAGATGCAAAAAAAATGAAGTGTTTTACAAGGAAGTGTTTTACCAGAGAAATGGAAAATGCAAGACCGAAATCCGATCGGTCATTGGAATGTCGAAAGATGCTTTTCAAATGTTAAGCAACCTATTAAGAGACAGGAAAATGTCGTTAGTTAGAAACAAAAAAAGAACACTTAATTGTTATGTAATATCGTTCCTCCTCTATGGAAGTGAATGCAGGACAACCTCATCACAGACGAAGAAGAGATTTGAGGCAACAGAGATGTGGCTCTACAGAAGAATGCTGAGAATACCATGAACTGAGCATATGATTAACAAGGAAGTTTTAAAGATAATGGAAACAAAAAGGACACTTACACTTATAATCAGGAAGAGACAATTGAAATTTCTAGGGCGTATGAAGAGAAAAGAGGGATGGCTGAATTTCACACTCACAGGATATATTGATGGTAAGAGGGAGAAAGAGAAAAAGAGAATAACCCACTTAACGAACTTGTTTAAATGGTTACAAAAACAGGGATTAGGAGAGATCACAAAAAGACAAAACTTACTAAGGATGTTGTGGAGAGCCAAAATCGCCCAGGTCAGGACAGATAGAATAGAAACAATTGAAAAAACCTGTGCAATATTTAAATGATACATAATTTATCTTTGAAGAGCACTGTCCAGATATAAAAGTTATCTCCCTTTAATTGAATACATTTTGATCTTGAAGGGCCGATTTAATGCATTCAGTGAAGGAAGTTTTCTGGCGAAAGTAATTTGCTGTTATGTTGGAATCCCCTCTTCAGGTTGTGGGCGATCATGGTTCTCCACAAATACCTCTTTTGTAACACTTATCGATGGTTATTTTATTATTGCGCAGTTAATCATTGACGTGACAATCATCTGTAACGAGGCCGCCATCATTCTTAATATGTTTCCACTGAAAATAACTTTTAAATCAACGTGTATTTCGTTAATCGTTGATTTCCATCGTCGGAAAATCACGGCATTCTCTTCTGTTAAAGACGAAAATGTTTCCACACTGCAACAGAGGAGCTGCATTTTCGATTTAAAATCGCCTTTCACCGCGGTAAACATTTTCCCTCGCTGACCCATTATTCCTGAATCAAATCCAACTCAATTTCCTCCCTTGAAATGTGAACAATATTGGCCATGAATAGCAATTATGTAGATAGATAGATAGATAGATAGATAGATAGATAGATAGATGAGATAGATAGAGAAGGTAGATAGATAGATAGATAGATAGATAGATAGATAGATAGATAGATAGATAGATAGATAGATAGATAGATACGAGAATAGATAGATAGATAGATAGATAGATAGATAGATAGATGACTTCTAATGTTGATCTTTGGCAATATTCCGTTTATTTCAGAGGGGAAACAAATAATTCAACTCTCAGTCCCTGAATGACTCTTCATACAATTTCTGCATAATTTGTTCGAATTACCTCATCCTTCGCCATGAACACTTTTCAACCGAAACCTTTCAAAATGCTGCCACATATCTTATCCGTGTAGATTCTCCAATCTGACAATTTACTTACCAGTGCCTTTCATTTTTTTGCATCATTTGCAACCACAATATCATTTCAATCACATATGACAATCAAAATGCTTCTTTATCGATACCACACGATGTAATCTATATTGTAAAAAATGGTTGTGTTTCGCTGTCCGTCACACAATAATTGCGTGTGATATTGCATGCGAGTATGTAATGTATGTGCGTATTTTTCTATGTTGTGTGCTACTGACATACATGTACATGTAACATTTAATGTACATATGAGCACGCACATAATTTGGCTGCATATGAAATAATACATTAGAACATTGCATTTTTCTCCCACTTAGTTTTAACAATCCCTACCTTGGGCTGAACAATATCATAAAATCAGAAAAAATGAATGAAAAAAAAAGTTATTTTTTCAAAAACTGAAAAATCAGACTGTTGTCCTGATCTTTATTGCCATATTCACTACGTATCGGCCGTTGTATGCTCTTGTCTTCTTCAGGTGATTGGAATTTCAAACTTAACCCTTTGTTTCGTCCACCGTCGTAGATTGTTCAATTTCCACGTGCTGTGCCTCTTCCGGATGTCTCAGTTATCTCCCTTTAACTCAACTCTCCAAGTTTCGGTCCACCACTGCAGTAGCCATGTATTCAGTTCGAAATTCCAATCACCTGAAGAAGGCTGGAGCGTACAACGGCCGAAATGTCATGAATACGGCAATAAAAATGAAGACAACAGTCCGAACAAAGTAAATAATATAAATAATTAGTATACAACATCTCAAAAATATAGACAGATATTGAAAAATCAGATTTTAAGATATTATTAAAGATTTAGGAAATTATTCGTTAATAAATAAAATTATTTTTAAAGCTTTTAAAAAAAATTTACAAATATTTTTTATGTCTGCCATTGTTGCATGTTATAACTTCTTCAGTCTGAATTCATGAGCCTGTCAATTGTAATTTAAAAAAAAAGAAAAAGTAGCTAGAAATTCTCAAACTGATGCGAAGATACAATTATCAAATCTATATTATAAAAAAATAAACTGATTCTCTGTCCGTCACACACGTTATCAGCGGGTGACTTTGTATGCGACTATATAATGTAGATACGTATGTGTCGATTGTGTGTAACTGGCGTGTATATGTCTATATCATTTAATGTATACACTAGTACACACATACATAAATGAACAATTTAACTGAATTTGAAATAAGACATTGGGATAAAAGATTCACATCCAACACAGTCTGGACAATACTACCCAGAGATGAGAAATAAAATCATAATGTGGAAGAAAAGAAAAATCTTTTAAAAATCTTTTAAAATGGTGGATTTAAAAAGCATCTATTTACTGGACATTAAACTCTTTGGCCTTAAGATATGCTAAGCTTTCTGAATCAATAGGAATCACTCAAGTACCTCACCCACAATTTTTTAAAATAAAAAAATGTCGGATTTGAAAAACATCTGATTTACTGAACATTAAACTCATTGGCGTTGAGATATGCTAAGCTTTCCGAATCAATAGGAATCACTCAAGTACATCACTCACAATCTTTTAAAAACATAAAAAATGGCGGATCTGAAAAACATCTGATTCGCTGTACGTTAAAATCTTTGGGCTTGAGCCTCTGCTAAGCTTTTAAAGGGAGGTAAGAATTCTATGCGATGCTAATTTCTTTTGTGCCAAAGCTTTTACGTGCTATTAAGATCAGCATTTGAAATCCTGATTTTGACTGGACTCGAACACCGACCAGTGGAATCAGTGGGAGTCATACAAGTATCTCATCCACAATAACGGATCCGTTGGATGTTATAGCTCCTTCAACCTGAATTCATGAGCCTGTCGATTTGTAAGTTTTAAAAAAGTGTCTAGAAAGTCGCCAAGATACAATTATCAAATCTATATTATAATAAAAATGAATTGGTTCTCTGTCCGTCACACACGTTATCTGCTGGTGACTTCCTATGCGACGATATAATGTAGATACATATGTGTCGGTTGTGTGTAACTGGCGTGAATGTATCTATGTCATTTAATGTATGCATAAACACACACATACACAATTTAACTGAGTTTGAAATGAAACATCAGAATACAACCTTCACCTCTAACACAGTCTGGACAACACTACCCAGGGATGAGCAATAAAATTATAACGTGAAATACAAGAAACATCTTTTAAAAAATTTTAAAATGGTGGATTTGAAAAGCATCTGATTTACTAGACATTAAACTCTTTGGCCTTAAGATATGCAAAGCTTTCTGAATCAATAGGAATCACTCAAGTACCTCAACTACAATTTATTAAAAGAATAAAAAAATGGCGGATTTGAAAAACATCTGATTTACTGAACATTAAACTCTTTGGCGTTGTGATATGGTAAGCTTTCAAAGGGAGGTAAGAATACTATGCGGTGCTAATTTCCTATGTGCCGAAGCTTCTACTTGCTCTTAAAATCAGCATTCGAAATCCTGATTTTGAATGGACAGTGAAATCAGTCGGAATTATTCAAGTACCTCAACCACAATATTTAAAAAAACAAAAGAAATGGCGGATCTGAAAAACATCTGATTCACTGCAAGTTAAAATCTTTGGGCTTGAGATATGCTAAGCTTTCAAAGGGAGGTCAGAATTCTATGCGGTATTCTATGTGCCAAAGCTTTTACCTGCTATTAAGATCAGCATTTGAAATCCTGATTTTGACTGAAGTCGAACACCGAATCAGTGGGAATCACTGAAGTGTCTCATCCGCGATAACGATTCGGTTGGATCCTTCAAACTGTTTTCCCGAGTCTGTCAATTGTAATAAAAAAAAAAAGGAAAAGTAGCTAGAAATTCTCAAACTGATGCGAAGATACAATTATCAAATCTATATTATAAAAAAAATAAACTGATTCTCTGTCCGTCACACATAATATCTGCGGGTGACTTTTCATGCCCCCATGTAATGTAGACGCTTATGTTTCGGTTCTGTGTAAGCTAGACCGCGCGGATTTAAGCTTGATTGACTACAAGGTTTGTTTTTTTATGGTTGTAAACGTAAGTTTTGTCCTAATAGTCACTTTTCTCGCAGTCCTTATTTGAACTCATTTTGCTGTTTCGTGTTTACATGCAACGAACAATCCTTAAAGATTTAATCAATCGCCATCTTCTTTCTGTCTTCTTAAAATCTATTCTTTTATTGTCCTTTCTCTTCGCTAACATCTTTTCATTCTCTTCCATTTGCGTATTGGTGGCACTGTCGCCTTCCTTGAAGGAAAAGGATAAAAAAGAACCTCTATACTCTCTAGAATAATGTATGTTTTTATATCTCGCAGATCTGTAGTACCGACATAACATATATTATCTATTAGTTTTACTTAGATTGTGGATCTATCTATCTATCTATCTATCTATCTATCTATCTATCTATCTATCTATCTATCGATCGATCGATCTATCTGTCTGTCTGTCTGTCTATCTATTCATTCAGTTCATTATCTATCTCATTTCGAACATTATCTGTATGTGTATCTATCTTATTTCATGGATTGTCAATTTAATTATTTATCTCATTTCGTCCATTATCTATCTATATATCTATCTATCTCTGTTCGTCCATTATCTATCTATCTATCTATCTACCTATGTATCTATCTCATTTCGTTCATTATCCATTTATCTCTATCATTCCAATCATTATATATCTATGTCATTCCATTCATTATCTATCTATCTATCTATCTATCTATCTATCTATCTATCTATCTATCTATCTATCTATCTATTTCATTTCGTCCATTATCTATCTATCTATCTATCTCGTTTGATTCATTATCCATTTATCTATCTCATTCCAATCATTATATATCGATTTCATTCCATTCATTATCTATCTATCTATCTATCTATCTATCTATCTATCTCGTTTTGTTCATTATCCATTTATCGATCTCATTCCAATCCTAATATAACTATATCATTCCATTCATTATCTATCTATCAATCTATCTATCTATCTGTCTCATTTCGTCCATTATCTACCTATCTATCTATTTCATTTCGTCCATTATCTATCTATCTATCTATCTATCTATCTATCTATCTATCTATCTATCTATCCCAGTCTGTACATATCTATCTATCTATCTATCTATCTATCTATCTATCTATCTATCTCAGTCTGTACATATCTATCTATCTCAGTCTGTACATATCTATCTATCTCAGTCTGTACATATCTATCTATCTATCTATCTATCTATCTATCTCATTTCGCCAATAATCTATCTATCTATCTATCTATCTATCTATCTATCTCAGTCTGTACATATCTATCATCTATCTATCTATCTATCTATCTATCTATCTATCTATCTATCCCATTCAGATCATTATCTATCTCATTTCGTTTATTATCTATCAAAAAAGTTAATATGTAAAAAAGATTCAATTGATGAACAGAATAGTATTTATTGTTCCTACCTAATTCACAAAGCAATGCTTTTTAATCCAATCGACTATTTTCAGGGGGAGGGGATTCGCATTTGAATACGATTGATGAAGGCTGGATAGTACAACGGTCGAAACTTTGTGATAATAACAACAAAGGTGAGGACAACAGTTCGAATTTAAATCATGTATATAGTAATTTTTTAGCGACGAATATAAAGCTACATTAGATGGATCTGATCTCTAGTCTTGAGGGTGTGACTTCCATTGAAGTACTCAATCAACAATCAATCAACACATTTTAGAGGATAATACTGGGCAGAAGTGGGTAATGTTTTGTCTTAGTATTTTAGGCATTAAATGTAATAAAATTGTAGAACTTGTTAAAGCTGATGAGAGTATCAAGCTAAAAGGTAGAAAATTACTAAAAATTATTAAGTTATTTGCTAAGGCTTTTTGTTTTTCGGGCAGAAGAATTGAGCAAATGGTGCTCAACCTTTTTCATCCAAAGCACCCTTTTCCAGAATGTCATTCAACCCTTCCTAGATTGATTATCTCAAAAAGTGTATTCCAAATAATAATCGTATATTGTTGAAATTCTTCATTCCTTTTTTATATTAAGACATATCTTTACATGGATTAATTTTTACAGGGGAATTTTACAAATTTAATAGTAATAGAAATTTTGATGGATTTTTAATCTTGAATACAATTTCAGTAATTTCTTGGAGGCACCATGGAATAACGGTTCTCGGATATAATTTCATAACTTCCAACTTCTCCACCTTTTTTGCCCAATGCCCCCTTTTCAACATAAGTCAGAATGCCACCCCCCTCTTTTTTAAAATTGTCCAATTCAGAAAGGTACATTCCAAATAATAGCCATATATTATTGAAAATCTTCATTCTTTTCTACATAAGTACATATATATTTACATGAATTAGTGCGTTTTTATAATCGTTAGCAAGCTTGTCTCACTAGATCAGTTACGACTGAATAGTGAGTTTGATCCTCACTAGGTGCCCCATACTTTCGGCCTTGTGATACATCTAAGCTACGCTTAGAAAATAACCATATGGACACCTCGAGTTGGTGTAATGGTTATCAAGCTTGTCTCGCTAGAACAATTACGACTGAATAGTGAGTTCGATCCTCACTAAGTGCCGCATACTTTCGGCCTTCTGTCACATCTAAATTACGCTTAAAAAATAACTATAGATTTACATGGATTATTTTTTTTTCGGGGAGTTTTACAAATTTAATGGCAATAGAAAATGTTGATGGATTTTTAAACTTGAATACATTTCTTTTTAATCGGCATCACCCCATGCAAGGCCAAAAAGTCACTAAGACACAAGGAGATTACAAAATGTGGCGAGAATTACAAACAGAAATATTAATGACGAGCAGGAAGAGAAAAGATTAATCCGTGGGACAGCAGATAGCAATTGGCATTACATTTACATTTCTGCAATTTAAAGTTGGCTGGAAAGCATGGAACCGGAAGGAAGTTCCACAGGCGAGAAGTGCGAGAGATGAAACTGTTAGCATAGAACTTACGGCTATATCTAGCCAGCTCAACTGTAAATTGATGAGATCTCGACGTCAGTCTAGTACAGCGCTTAAATTCATAAAGTCTAGGTACTATAGCGAAGAGATGATCTGAACTATGAAAGTATTTATAGAAAAGACACAACGAGGCAACCTTATGTCGGTGGGAAAGTGATTGAAGACGAGCGGCCAGATCAGGGCCAATAATATTGCTGATTCTCCTTTGGATTTTATCAAAGATCACTAGATATATAGCTGGAGCACTGGATCATATGTGGCAGCAATATTCTAAGCATGTATGAATAGTAGACTTATAAATATGTAAGATAGATTCTGGAGAGAAAAATTCCCTCGCACTACACAGTGAACCAACTTTATTTGTAACTAAACCTAGAGGTGGATACGTTAACCCGAGAAGGCACAACGCGTCACTTTCCTGGAGGTTAGCATCAGCCATGCTGATGAAAGAGCAGAGAGGTGTCTCTCAGATGATTAATGGAGAGAAGTTTAATTTTGGAGGCGTTAAAATTAACAAGCCATCTTTTGCCCCAATTAACGACGGACTTGAAGTCATTTTGAACATCGACAGGTATAGTAATTTATTTTAATTCATAACTAATTTTTATTAGCACTATTTACATTGTTAGGACTATTGTCCTCATATTTATTGCCATATTCACGACGTTTCATCCGAGTGTTACCTGCCTTTTAGTATTAAACTGTTTACACCAAATCCGATTTTTGTTTTGTCTACCACCATATTTGTACCTATTTTTAACCTCCTCTAAGGCAATAATTTTATTCGTTTGTTCCGCCATTGAAAATTGCGTCAAGAAATTCTCTCCTTGTGATTTCCCTGTTTCTAATTTGGCATTCTGTCGATGCGCAGGCGGGAAACGTTTTTTGCAGCTTATTCTGTCGTGTTAAATTGGAAATTACTTAGCAACCACAAGGTGTACAGTCACGAATTCATGCTCTATCAGGGTTTTTCTGCTCATGGCGGGAAATAAAATGGCGGTAGTTCACATGGAAATTGCTGTTTGCTGAATCATTCAAAAATGGCGTCTTTATTTTATTTTTTTTTATTTTTTTTTTTGTTAAGTCCAAAGTGGAGATCCGATTTTTTTTTTCACTTGCAGTGGATCTCTAATTGGCTTTGCTACCCATTTCTAACTCTTATTATAATCCCAGTATCTCAACATATACATTTATTTATTTTTATGGCATTGACACCGAATATATCATAAACAGTTGTCATCAATGCTCTCGAAAATTCTAGCGCTAACTAATTGCTTCCAAATAATAGCATACAATTGAAAAAAATCTATATTTCTGAGATGAGGTATTATGTACATTATTTACATTATTCGGACTATTGTCTTCATCTTTGTCGCCATATTTATCACAACGTTTCGGCCGTTGTACGCTTCGGCCTTCTTCAAGGACACATGGCACAGTGGATAAAGGCGTTGGTTAGATCCTGTGACAGGACCCAAAGAGTGTGAGTTCAATACCCGGTTAAGGAAGTGGAGAACTTTCAGAAGAAAAATTAACAGGAGATAACTGATAACTGACATCCATCAAACATGGCACGTGAAACTAGAACAGTCTACCTCAGTGAGCGAAATAAAGGGTTAAGTTCGACATTCCAACCACCTGAAGAAGAATTTCTTTTCTTTATGCCGTGTTTCTATGGTGTTTCTATGGTATGTGGGCAATGTGGGCTCTTCAAGTTTCAAGTCACCGAAGTTAAGCAACATCGAGCCTGGCCAGACGAGTGACGGCTTCGGAATACCAGGTGCTGTAAGCTTGCATATGCGGTTAGTGCAATGGGATTACGGCCATATCACGATGAACATCCGGTTACGGTACGATCACTGAAGTTAAGCAACGTCGAGGCTGGCCAATACCTAGATGGGTGACTGCTTGGAATACCAGGTGCTGTATGTTTGGATGTGCGGTTGGTGTAATATGCTTACGGCCATTTCACGTTGAACGACCGATTCTCGTACGATCACCGAAGTTAAGCAACGTCGAGCCTGGCCTGTACCTAGATGGTCGAGCGCATGGGAATGTGAGATGCTTTAAAGTTTGGATGTGCAGGTGGTGTAATGGATAATGGCTTGGAATTTTTAATCGAAGAGCTGGGTTCCAATTCCAGCTGAGTTCCAGAATGTATCAATCCACTTCATTTCTACCTTCACCTCCAGCAATGAGTTAATTAGCAAGACTGATATTTGAGGCAAAGATCGAGGTCAGGATCTTCGTCGTACATTTCGCGGAAGATATAAGGTCAGGGCCATTTATAATTGTTGGAACAGCCACGTTGTGTCCATTCCTAATTTGGTTGGAGATCTTCCAAAATCCAATTCGTTTCTTTTCAAACTTGACCCTCACTGCATATGCATCGCTACACTTTTCATTTTCCAGAACTTTCCTGTGGCGATCCTGGGCGGTTCTGTACGCAATAAGAATCAAATAATACCGCTTGGTTTTCCTATTTTTATCAGCCTGGCAGTTCACTTACTTGTAAAATAACTAACAAAGAAAAAGAATAATTTCAAGTGGTAGTCGTCTCTTATACAGTAAGCGGCCATAATATAAGGAACGGAAACAACAAAGATATAAATATGTGTATTACTTAAAAAGTAATGCATGATTAGCAATGAAATTTTTACCAAATAAAGATTAGGGTGTAATGCATAAATATTATACAAAATTACAAAAATTTACATAATACTTTTTCTTTTAAATAAAGATTAAATGGAACAAAGGAAATAAGCTACTGGACAAAAGTTAAAGAACGATCTTGATAATACTTGATAGTGAAGAAAATATCAACAAAATTTAATATTTGGTAAACATTCCCTTATTTTCAATGGCTTCTCTGCATCGTCGTTGATCTAATTAATTTCCTGCAAAAATCAGCAGTAATTCCCTCCCATTCGTCTTTCAATAACTCCCATAGGTGATCCTGGTTTTTCGGGTTTCTTTTCTGAGTCCTTTCACTGGTTATCTTTCAAACATTTTCTATTGGACTCAGGTCGGGGCTCTGGGCTGGCCACTTATTTAGGGCGATTCCTTCTTCTTCAAATAAAGTCATAACCTTCTGAGCCTTGTGGCAAGGTGCATTGTCCTGCATCAAAATAGGAGATTCATAAAGATTATGGTGTAATCTTAGTACCACATGCTGCTGAAGAAGCCTTTTGTAAATCTCAGCATTGATATTGCCATGTACGCGGATGATAGGGCCAACTCCTGCAGATGAAATCATTCCCCCACACCATCACACTGCCGCCACCAAACTTAACGGTTTTCGTGACACGTTGAGAAGACAGTCTTTCACCTGTTCTACGGCGTACGTAAGTTTTACCCTCAGAACCAAATATAGTAAACTTGGACTCGTCACTGAAATGAACTGTATTCCATTGTGCGTCAGTCCAAACAACATGTTCTCTCGCATACTCCAGGCGTGCCCTTTGGTTTCGCTTTGATACATGACAACCTAAGCGTGTATCACACGTGACACATAATTGACTGAAATTCACTTACATGCCAATACTCTTGGGAAAGGTATGAATCCTCTTTTTCTCCCCACCCCCAGCTATGGGTAAATAACAGTACAGACTGGGTTTCTATAGCCTTGGATGTCAACTGGTCTACCGCAGAAAGAAATGGTATCCTACTGCGGGAAAAAATCTGCCTCGTCAGTCATGTATCGAAAGATACATGATCGCCTAAGCGTGTATCAAGCACGACACATAACTGAGGTTGCGTAGATTAGTACAATAAATTTTCATTAATTCTTTTGAAAACATTAAAAGTTTTATTATTTAACATGCAAATTAATCCCATTATTTTAAAAACAATTTAATGATTACAATAACAAATATTTATTTAATAAAAATGCAATTTTATTTTGTATATTCTTTCTTTAATTTTTTATATACAAGAATCTTCTTTCCAGTTCGCCCTGTGTTTGCGAGAACTATAAACAAATCTCAAGTTCAAACGCTTCAAAAAGTTTGAATTTGGCAGCAAAAAGAAATTTTTACGTATGGCTAGTTGTATGTTGCATGCTCAAGAGTAAGAAATCCTAAGAATTTATTCTTCGCTGTTAAAAAGGAAGAAAGAAATTTTCTTAAAAGATTTTGCTTTATAAATAAAATAAAATTAAAAATAAAATAAAAATGAAATTAAAATTAAAATAAAATTAAATTAAATTAAAGAAATTATTAAACCGTGAAGTAGAGTTTTATTTAAAGTATATTTTGCAAACAATCAGTTTATTCAAATTTCATTGATTGGTTTGCGAAATTGAACTAAGGCGTAGAGTTTGTAAATCTCGACAAAAAGTATCTTACTTATTATAAAACGCAGATTGTGTGTGTGTGTGTGTGTGTGTGTGTGTGTGTGTGTGTGTGTGTGTGTGTGTGTGTGTGTGTGTAATTATATATATTGGATTGGATTTCCTACATTTTTCAACCGATTTCAACAAAACTTCACAGGACTATATAAAATTACCTTGTGGTGGTTCTAACAGCGCCAAAATGGGAAAAATATAATTGTTTTTGCACAAAATCAATTTGAAAACACGATTAAGAGACATCGTGAAAATGGAAGGGGACAACTCACATCGGGTTGTTTTGTGTGTGTGGGTTCCTTTAAATATGGGATCGGATTTCCTATATTTTTCAGCCGATAAAACAAAACTTCACTTTTTTTTTTTTTTTTTTTGGCAGGTAGTGTTTCTTATTCTCTTGCACACTTTTTTTTTTTTTTTTTAACATTCAGAATGCTTTAAAAATTTCCATTTACAAGACAATTATTTATAATAAAATTCTATTCAATCGGGAGACTCATAACGATTGAAAACAATGTTTTTGTTTGAGTTTGACCAATTGGGAAAAAAAAACTAATTAAATTAAGACATGCGTTTCCGTCAACCTTAAACAATAATCTAACGATCTATAGTGATTGTACGAATACAAACATCGGATAAATTCTTTATCTCTAGGGAAAGATAATGAAATCTAAACATACACAAGTCCTAACTAAAAATAATAACCGGAACGGGAAACTACTTTAAATACACATGGTGTCCAATTTTTTTACTGTATTCAATAAGTAAAAACCATAAATTCTAAAAGATTATTATTACAGAAAGGCTACTAAATGAATAAGATTTATTAGATCATAATTAATAAACCCAAATAAAGTTAATATTTTTTGTATTAGAAACAACGAGTGGAAAATATATTCAAATCAGAATTCTAATTATGAATCACCACAAGCAAAATATGCAATTTTTTTTACTGTATTCAATAAGTAAAAATCATAAATTGTAAAACTAAAAGATTACAGAAAGGCTACCTACATTTTTCAACCGATTTCAACAAAACTTCACTTCTTTTTTTTTTTTTTGGCATGTAGTGTTTCTTATTGTCTTGCACAATCGGTAGAGACTCATAACGATTGAAAACAATGTTTTTGTTTGAGTTTGGGTTTGACCAATTCGTAAAACAAAAAAAGAAAAAAAACTAATTAAGACATGCGTGTCCGTCAACCTTAAACAATAATCTTTGTCAATTTTATTTTTCAGTTTTTATGATGGTCGATACTTGATCTATTATATCCCCGGGCAACGCCGGGCTCTACTGCTAGTTAGCGATAACTTCAATAATATTAAATACTGTGATGACTTCAACACGTGTCAGTGTGTTGTAGAAAAAAGTCTAGTTATTCAAAAGTACGCTCCTATCGTCTTCAATATGTTTGAAAATATATAAGAAACATGAATAAAAAAATCAACTGTACCTTTTTTGTTATCAAGTACAATTTTAATTTACCTTTTCCTCACAAAATGTTTGTAATTAGAAAATGAATCTACATGAAGTCATTAATCGGATTACAAACGTTTTTGTTTTTTTGTTTTTTAACAGAACAGTTTACACGTCCTTTTTTTTTTAATCTTGCTTGAGCTGCAAGATACATTTTGCATTTGGTTGCGAACTACTTGTTATTTTTATGAGCCTGTCAGTCGACGAAAAATAATTAAGAGATGGAAACGTGAAAATAACAAACAGCCTCAGCGAAATAAATCCGATTTTGCAGATCAGCGGAATGTAGATCGAGACAAATGATAATAACTACAAAATGAATTTTGACACATTTGCCATGCATATACACTCATCCACACGATGGGACAAATTGGCTGACTGAAATTGGGAAGAAAAAAATTGGCTGCGATAAGCAGAAAATAAAGAAGCCTTAGAGTTGGCATAGAAGCATAAAAATTGTAAGGAACACAGCTAAACTCAAACTGTTAATTACAAAGCTTAAGAGTCACTCAAGGTAGAGGATTACAAAATGCGGTCGTTGATTGAATAATTGCAGTTTTTTAACTATTATTTTTAAATGACAAATTTTACATCAAAAGAAGTTTTATTGAATCAAAATAAGCGCCATTTTATTAATCAAAATAAGCGCCATTTTGCCAACAAGAGATATTTTGAATGACTTGATTTTTTACGGATTATCAACCTTTTACAGGTTATTTCAAGCCAGCAAATTAAATTGTAAGATTTGGGGGAGCTTTTATGTGAAATACATCGGTTTGATGCTTTGGCGTACATCACCAGCTATGTTTTTTAACTGAGGATCATGAGAGGTTTCGGGTCTTTCAGCAACACACCCACTTCCCAACGGTGACCCAGCCAACACTGATCCGATATCGGTTTGAGAGCCATACGTCAGCTACAATTGTTCTCGTCATGTGCGCAAATTTACTGCGACTCCCAGTGTGGGGTGGGGGGGGTTGAGTCATACATTTGCCAAGGAAGTGAATATTAGGAAACTGAGTGGAATTGGAAATCGGCTCTACGAATTCCAAATTCCGTGCCATTATTCATTACACCATCCACGCACCCAAACTTACAGCACCTGGTATTCCCGTGCTGTCACCCATCTAGGTACTGACCAGATTCGACATTGCTTAACTTCGGTGATTGTTCGGGAACCTGTGTTTCAGCGTGATATCGTCGTTAGCTAATATCAAGTTTGAAACTATGCTTGCGTTATTAATATCAGCATTTTTTTTCTTTTTTGTAATTTTTAAATTTCGGAACTTTTAAGACATTTTGTTAAATATTTTTAGTGTGCATATTTTTAGTGTGCATATTTTTCGGCAGCACGTGCAAAAAAACTGCGCATAAGAATCATTTATTTTAGACGTTTAAACGTATGTGACGTCGTCCCCTGGTCGCAGCGCCAACTGTGACGTCCTATCCTGGTCTACCACGGCACCAACTGTGACGTCCTCGCCGCGGTGCCAGCTGTTCGCTCCTCGCTGTTCCGTTCGGGTGTCGCCGCTCCAAACGTGACGTCCGCCTGTCGCGTCAGTCGTGTTGTCTCGTCCTGTGACGACCAACCGGCTTGGTATCGGTCGCGGCACCCAAATGTGACGTTCTAACCTTTTGGTGATTCGGATGGGAATCTGGTTAGATTCGATATCAGCCTCGTCGTTCCCAACTCGCTTCCAACGCCTGGTTACCAAAGTAACTGCCTTGATCTCCAGTCTGCCTACCCACGTTGTGAATTGATCTTAGGCAGACGAGATCAATCAGTAGTTGGGGCCGTAATGCAAATCGGGTTCAACAGGGGTGACACCACACAATATGCATAAAAGAAAAGAAAATGAAAACTCAAAAGTTCAAGGTATCAAAGAAAAAGATAACAAACTTTATGTCTAGTTGTTCGATACATAGGACTGCGTCTATTTCCCGACCCGTTCTATGGATTGTGACACGTTGTTTTCCGTTAGGCGAGTTTTAACGCTTCAAGTTGTTTGCTCTTTAAGAAATTGGTTTTCGGTGTGTCTTCGGACGAAAGTCGAAAAAACTTATTTTGGTGGTCTGGATCTAAGTCGCTCTTCAAAATAATTGTTCTTGGATTGAAGAGGAGTCCGGAATGTGCGTGAATCTTTCAAGTCAGCTATCTGCGAGGCGGAACCAACTTCCACTGCGAGCTTCGAACACTCTGCTGCAACTCCACTCTGCTGAACTGGACTCAACTGATTTCTGCTTGCTGCGGCTTCGCTTATATGGACGCCGACCAAAACCGGGGTGGGTTTGTCGGCGTCGGGGGTTCCTTGATAATTCTAAATACATATCCACCTCTTTTATTTCTGGTTAGGAATTTTCCACTCTTTTCCATTTTTGGGAGCCTTTTCTTACTCCCACCTTCTCACCATACTTCAGAGGGGCGTGAGCTGCCCTCCCCACTTCTTCGTAGCAGCTTCTCATACCTATCCTCTGGATGGGCGCCGACAGCCTCCTTCGTGCGTCACGTGATCACCACTCGACCAATGGTGTCCTGGTCGGGCGTGGACGAATCCGCGGCTTTGTTTCAGGAAAAAAAAATATCTTGCTTAACTAAAAAAAAAAATTATCTTTTCTTTGCCTTTTCTTCCTCTTAATCGCAGTTATCATTTTCTCTAGCCGCAACCAGGACAATACGAACGACGGTGGTCATAACTCTTGTTCTTCACCTGGGCTTCGTCAGTCATCTTATCGCTTATTATCAGAATGGGTGGTTTTTTTAACACGGCCAGACGTCGCCCCGAAAAGAAACATTTCTAAGTTCACATTCATTTCCTTTCGGTACATATTTCTGATAACATAATTTTATTATCGCAGGCTAAAGATGTTCCGTCGAAAGAAATCGGTCAGTGGACACAATATGTGCGGCTTTTGACACAAATTTTTCATATCTATCCAAAGCCCTTTTGTCTACCTGTTTTCCGTCACTTATCGAAATAACATTTTCATTTGGATTTTTCTTTGGCCAGCAGTTTGTTTACGCATCCCAGATAACACACCCGATTCCTTTATCCACTCAGAATTTCCCTGTCATTGTAATGACACTCTTTCGCCATTTGTTACTTATCAAAATATCCTTTAACCATTGTCTCTTAGCCGTGGTATTCTGCTTATCATCCACGTTTTGGGTCTCGCCTCTTTTTTTTTTTCTTTTTTCTTTCTCTTCTTTTTCTGCCTCGGTAAATGGTGCCACACGTATATATACTGTCAATAATTTCTCCATTTTTTTCTTCTTTAGTTAAAATGTATATATTCGTTTTTTGTTTTTTTTTTATTTAAAAAAATAATTTAGTAAAAAAAAAACGTCTGTTTTCGTACACAGAAAACTAAGTCCAGGTAACTCTGGAAAATATCAAAGTTCGATTTTACACTTTATCGATATTAATAACAGTTCCTCATTTCTAAAATAATTTTCAAAATTAATATTTTTCGATTCCGACAAAAACAAAATCGCGGCTTAAGCTACATAAATTATTTCCCGAAAAAAAATTTTCCATATTTTTTATGCGTGGACCAGTCTACTTAAATAGTTCCAATTACCACTAGCAGTTGGACAATTATAAAAAGATCACTAGCAGGGAACAGGATTATGCCTTTCTCAAGTGCAAAAAAAATGATGGTGTCTAAAACATGATTCGAACTCAGTTCGCCGGTTCCGTTTCAGAGCAAACAACCGTTATGCCATTACGCACTTCCGAGCTGGTACACATCCAACAGCATTTAATAATAAATTTTTCTCTTTCTTTTATTTGGACGTGTGTCTGCCTCTGTGCGAGGGGTGGATGGAGGCGTTGTGCTGGGTAGTAAATAAGAGGTCACCCCACCAGCAGACTCCTAAATAAACGCATGGAATAAGTACGAAAACATGAAAATAACCAAATAGAATCCGAGAGATAAATTATTGGGGGGAAAAAATGCGCGAAAAATAAGGAAAACCCATTCAATCGTTGACGAACAAGTCAAAAGTCGCCATTGTTAAATGAATGTATTTTAAGATGTCAATGACACCTGCAACTCTCCCATGCGAGCCAACAGACTCTCAACGGCTCGACATATTAATTCAATTCCTTGAAAACGTCAGCGCTCTTTTTTGTTTTGTTTATATATATATATATATATATATATATATATATATATATATATATATATTGAACAATAAGAAAATTAAAAATTAAAATCATTAGACACACTGGGTTGTAGATTAATATTCTTTCGTATTTTTTATTATTATTCCATTTAGATTCCTCGACTAGTTTCGACCGAAATGGCCATCATCGGGAGGAGAAATATTTCTGCTTGCTGGTAGCAGTAAACTACAGAAATGAATGTCTTGATGGAGAAAATGAACTTTTGTCTGTAGTTTTCATTTGTTTTTTTATTTTTTATTTTCTTATCTTTTTAACATGAATCTTTTAACATTCCTTGTGTTGGTCAAACAGTCTCTTTTAAGTTGTTATCTGAAATAAGAGCTGAATAGATACATATTATTCTGCATTCTCTGGTCAGTTTGACAGTTTTATTGGACCTGGTGAGGGGATGTGTCTTTGTTTAGTGTTTGTGTGTGTGTTACTTGGTTCTTAGGGAGTAAGTGAGTATGATATGTGTAAGCGTGTGTATTACTGTAGGTGTGTGTTATCATTTGGCTCCTTAGGGAGTGAGTGAGTATGATGTTTGTAAGTGTGTATATTCGTGTGGGTGTGTGTATAAGTGTATATATATATATATATATATATATAGATAGATAGATAGATAGATAGATAGATAGATAGATAGATATTTGCTTTTTAATTTACGTTTATGAGGAAACAATACCAGCAGCTGAATTTGAAAGGAAGTGTAAACAGGTTTCGAAATTTTCTTTATAATTTTTTTGTTCTGTTTATCTTTTTCCTGTTTTATTGTTTGTTTGTTTTACCGCCCGTTCAAGAGGGAAGATAACACACGCTTCGAAAACGAATGGTTCGACTTGAAAACGAGATGATTTCTTCAAGTATCTGTTTCAACGTGTTTGCTGTTTGTGCAGGACGTTTGTTTTAGCTGATAGCATGATAAATGATTATTAGTTTAGTGTTCGAGAATAAGACGCACGTCCGTCTTCTTTATCGTGTAAATATCGCACGTGAACATCATAAACCCAACTACTTTTAGACTGTAGGGGCATCGATGGTGCTGGTTAAGATGTATCAGCGAGAAAACTAGCATATGTCGATTTTCGAAAGAAGGGAGGAAGAAAAAGATGTTTTTCAGAAAGAAAAAAGGAAGGAAGAAAGAAAACAATAAAAACAGAAGAGAAAGAAAGAGCATAGAAAATAAAGTCAAAAAAACAATCTCATGAAAGAAAGAAAGAACTTACAGAGAAAGAATTTAGAAAATAAAAATCAGAAAAAGAAAGAAAAGATAACGAGAGAAAAAGCAGCAAAACGAAAGGAAAAAGAAAGAATTTAGAATATAAAATGAAAACAAAATCCTAACGAAAGAACGATCTTAGAAAAACATCAAGAAAGAAAAAAGTTACTGGACAAAAGGAAAGAAAAACAACAAAACGAAAGTCAAAAGAAAGAAACAAAGAATTTTGGATATGAAATAAAACCAAAAAAAACTAACGAAAGAAAACAAAGGAGAATAAACGTAATGAATAAAAACAAAATCACAATAAAAAAGGAAGGATTTAGAAAACGAAATAAAAAGAAAAAAAACAAGTGAAAGGACGAAAGAAAGAAAGAGAGAAGAAATAAATAGTAAAAAGACGAGGTTTAAAGAAAGAAAGAAAGAAAGTAAAGAAAGAAAGAAGGTAAAGAAAGAAAGAAAGAAAAGAAAGAAAGAAAGAAAGAAAGAAAGAAAGAAAGAAAGTAAAGAAAGAAAGAAAGAAAGAAAGAAAGAAAGAAAAGTTAGAAATAGAAAGAAATAGTAAAAGGAGGAAGATTTAAGTTTGAAAGAAAGAAAGAAAGAAAGAAAGAAAGAAAGAAAGAAAGAAAGAAAGAAAGAAGGTAAAGAAAGAAAGAAAGAAAGAAAGAAAGAAAGAAAGAAAAGTTAGAAATAGAAAGAAATAGTAAAAGGAGGAGGATTTAAGTTTGAAAGAAAGAAAGAAAGAAAGAAAGAAAGAAAAGAAAAAGAAAGAAAGAAAGAAAGAAAGAAAGAAAAGTTAGAAATAGAAAGAAATAGTAAAAGGAGGAGGATTTAAGTTTGAAAGAAAGAAAGAAAGAAAGAAAGAAAGAAAGAAAGAAAGAAAGAAAGAAAGAAAGAAAGAAAGAAAGAAATAGTAATGTTCGGGGGTTTAAAGATTCAAAGAAAGAAAGAAACAAAATGAAAGAAATTGTAAAATGAGGGGATATAAGATTCATAGAAAGAAAGAAAAAAGAAAGAAAGAAAGAAATAGTAAAAGAAGAGGTTTAAAGATTCAAAGGAGAAAGAAAGAAAGAAAGAAAGAAAAGAAAGAAAGAAAAAAAGAATGAAAAAAGAAGAGAAAAAAACAATATAAGAAATAGAAAAAGAGGAGTATTTGCTTGCATTAAATTCAGAATTTGAAACACTAGTAGATTGCACATAATTTTGCTACCAATCATCTTCAATATATATATATATATATATATATATATATATATATATATATATATATATATATATATATATAATGGCTGGCTTCCCCGATCCGAGGATGTCCTCTTACTATATATAACGATTCCGAAATTTCTCGGACATTCAGGTCGGTAAATATTGTTAATACTGTTTATTATAAACAGATCATCTACTTAAATATATTTATCTATAAAACAACGTATAAACAATAAGTATATTAAAGTAATTGTCGGAATTAGCGCATCTCATTACATATATATATATATATATATATATATATATTAGAACGTTCGCTTACTGACCATGAGACCCGATTTCGAATTTCGCCTTTGTCGATTTGACAGCAAAGTGACTTATCGGTCTTGGGAAGGCGATCCCAGCGTGCGGCACCTTTGGAAAGTGACTGAAAACCATACCTCTGGTTGACCGAAGCCTTGTGAGTGAAATTGGGTAGACGGAACTCTTTGTGAGACGTCGTTAAATCACGAGAAAATTGTAGTTTAAAAGCAGTAATTGGACCTCGCTAAATAGAGGCTTCCTTTGTAGCTAACTGGTATAGCACGTCTGCCTATAAACCGGTTCTGTGCCGGATACAGGTTCGATTTCTGTCGGAGGACACATATTTTCTATAAATTTTTACGGACATTCAGACGGGTAAATGAAATGTTGTTATAACTATTTATTATAAGCAGAGCATTTACTTAAATATTTGTATCTATAAAACATATAACGTATAAACAATATATAAATATATATAGGCAGCATATCTTCATTCAAATATATTTCATTGAATAATATAGACATATTTTGTCTACTTATTTTTCTACTGATCCTTTCCAGTTGTCTAATCAGTTTCTTGATGTTAAGATGAAATTCATCAAGGAAGGAACCGTAATTTTTCTGAACCCAAGTACTTTCGATCTTTTCCAAGATCATCTTCAGGGGTAAATTAAAAAGACAAACTTATCGGTAAACATGTAAAATGGCATTAAATGTTTGTTATATGAACTTTAATATGTTGTTGCTATATTCGTATTAAATTTTAGTGAATTTTAGCTGTTTGCACACACAGTAGATTTAAGGCCATTTTCCGTTATATTGAAACACTTGTGTTGCAAAAAAATTCCATATCTGCAACGGATAAATTTAAAATAGCTATAACAGCGGGTTCGCGCGTGTTTTTTAAAATCACCATCACAACGGAATGCAGATTTTATCCCAGTTACAAATTTGTCTTTGTAATTTACCCCTGAAGATGATCTTAGAAAAGGTCGAAAGTACTTCGTTTAAAAAAAAACAATGTACGGTGCCATCTTTGATGAATTCCATCTTATCAAGAAACTGGTTAGACAAAGGGAAAGGATCAGTATAAAAATAAGTAGACACAATATGTCTACATTATTCAATGAAACATATATATATATATATATATATATATATATACACATATATATATATATGTGTGTGTGTGTGTGTTTCATATATATATATATATATATATATATATAACCGAAAAGAATAAAAATAAGTAAATTAATCCAAATAAATAAATAAATACTAAACAAATTAGCAAACCACTCTCTCCAAATTAATCGTTAGAATAGGCTACCCACAATGCACCACTGACCCGTATATATAAATAGTCGAGAAAAAACAGAAGACATGTGACCTGATGCTTTTAGCCTGAAACAGTCTGTCGCCTCTGCGTGTTAACTTCAATGTCCACTTTTATATTTTATATTTATATACGCTCTATCTCTGATATTGAGCACTTTATCGCATACATATAGCACACCTTAAAACTATTTTCTTCATATATATATATGTGTGTGTGTGTGTGTGTGTGTGTGCGTGCGTGTGTGTGTGTGCGCGCGCGCGCAGCTATATAATAATCACGGCGAATTAGCTTTGCACTGAATGAGCCTGGAGATCCGAAAACCTTTCAGAAAGGTGGAGAAAACAAGATCAGTATAAGACAAGTGACAAAGACGTCTTTTGAAATAACACCATGAAAAGAGTTTCAAAATTCTGACGTTCATACAAAAAAGGTTTTCTTTTATATTTGTCATATTCACTCCTGAGTTCGATTTCTGGCGCAGGACCTCACTGCCACAAGCCCAGACGGGATAAAAATCAGTTCTTTACTTTAACGCCAAGGACGTCATAATAACCGATGTCCCGACATTATAATATTTCGATTTTTTTCCCTGTACGTCAAAGTTTTTTTTACAAATTTGTTTGACAGAGAAACAACTTGTAAAATCTTTGCTGATTATTTCTAATAATTCACTCTTGCTAGAGACTTAATAAATAATGTAGACTTTATCGCTTCTTTCCCTGAGATCCTATCGGAACAACTATATTAAAGGAAAATGGGAGATTATTATATTTTTTTCTCTTAACGCATGCGCAGTTGTTTATGAATGAAACTTGACCACGTCTCATAAAACATTTACCCTCTGTTTTTGCATTTTGTTTTTTTGTTTTTTCATTTTTCTTTTTTGTTTTTTTTTTGTTTTTTTGTTTGTTCGTTGGCTGTTGTTTTTTTTTTTTTGTTTGTTTATTTTTATTTGTTGTTTAATGTCTTTTGAAAATTTACCCGGTTATAAATATATTTTAAATTCTTCAAGCGGAGAATAAATTCTGCAAGCATAATTTTTATTTTTGTACGTTTTTTAATAAAGCACGTTTTATGGCATCTCTTTGTTTTCGGTAAGGCGAACGGGACGGTTTATTAATCCAGCTTATAGCTTTCAAAATATTTTTGCTGGTTAGTGTGTGTGTGAGTGTGTGTGTGTGTGTGCGCTCGCGTGTTTGTCTGTGTGCGTCTGTGTGTGTCAGTGTGTGTGAGAGAGAGAGAGAGTTTGTACGCGTGAATTTGTGTCCGTTTCTCACTTGCACACAATAGAGACATGCAACAATACATATATGGGTGTGCACTAATTCATTTCACTATGGTTTTCTACAGTTTGCACACTATATAAATATATACAGTGTAACCCGGATATAAGAGAGTTGTCGGGACCGGAGAAGAAGTCTCTTATATCCGGGTTTCTCTTATATCCGGGTTTGGTCTATTTATATACATTAACACAGGCTCTAATTTGGGACCAGAGAAAATCTCTCTTATATCCGGGTTTCTCTTATATCAGGGTTTCTTATATCCGGGTTACACTGTATATATAGATAGATAGATAATATTAGTGATCAATACACACACATACACACACACACATATATATATATATAGATAGATAATATTAGTGATCAATACACATACACACACATACACACACACATATATATATATACATATATAGATAGATAGATAATATTAGTGATCAATACACACACACATATATATATAGATAGATAGATAGATAATAATAGGGATCAATACACACATACACACACACACACACACATATATATATATATATATATATACAGTGTAACCCGGATACAAGAGAGTTGTCGGGAACGGAGACGAAGTCTCTTATATCCGGGTTTCTCTTATATCCGGGTTTGGTCTATTTTATATGCATTAACACAGGCTCTAATTTGGGACCAGAGAAAATCTCTCTTATATCCGGGTTTCTCTTATATCCGGGTCTCTTATATCCGGGTTACTCTGTACTTATCTTATATACGCCGTACGTAGCTTTTTTTATTTCTTGGTTGATTTTTTTTTGTTTTGTTTTTTGTTTTTGTTTTTTGTTGTTTTTTTTTTTTTGCTTCCGGGTTTTTTTTTACTACCGGGGTAATCGTAGAATTTACCACCTTTCCAAAACTGGACAACATCTCATTCCATATAACAATAAGGTACTTCATTATACTAGTTCACCTACATACCGCCTTGAAACATGCTACTCGGAACGGACAACCCCTCTTAGTCCGCCAATGCCATCATTATATAATTATATATAAATTTCTGGCCATAGACAAGGACATAACATATAAATGATAACGTCAACAGGAGGAAATGATTTACACCTCGTGTGATTAGCAATTTAAAAGCAAGACTATTCTCATTGAACATAGAAGATACATAATATCAGTCATAACAAAACCGGACTAATAAATATTTAAAATAAAATAATAAAATAAAATAATAAAATAAAATAAATTTTTAGTTTAATTTGGTTTATTTTACGGCATTTCAACCTCAGCGAGTTATTTAATGCTGACAAAATTTTTATTGCTGGTGATATTTTTTTTCCTTCCAAAATCTATTTCTGGTAATATTTTTTCTTCAAAATGTATCACTGGTAATATTTTTTTCAAATAATATACAGTTGGTCATTTTTTTTTTCCAAAAATATATAGCTGGTAATATTTTTTTCCTTCAAATATTTATTGCTGTGAATAATTTTTTACAAAGTATTTCTGGTATTTAAATCTATTTTTACACTTTACGGCAAAGAAGATCGTCTGGAACCAAGAATTCAATGCTAAAAATGGAAGAATTTTAGTTTCACAGAGAACAAAGATATCTGGCAACTGTTTAATAGAGGATTGGAACGGAATATCAATAGCTAGCACAGAGTGGTCAGAGTTACCAAGAAGGCAGTGTTATGCAAGAGCAATGAGAAGAGGTAAGAATTAAATCACGTAGAAAAGTATGTTACATGGTTTTCCTTGGGAAAAGGTTTGTTATTGATCACAGTTTGGGAGTTAATTATTGGCCCATAGCTGGGATGCTAACAGGTGCTACCAACCCAGGCCAGGGTGGACCAGGGAACATCAGCAATTAAGAGGGGGTTCGACCATTCTCAAAACCACCTGATCAGAGGCCTTGTTGTTGGACGTAGTTTATTGTCTTACCCAGGACGCGGATGTAGTTTATCTTCATACTCTGAACGGCTTGTAGTTTATTGTCTTACCCAGGACGGGAAGCCTTTCTGGTTTTTATAAGCGTTCTTCTCC